CATATCAAAACGCTGATGCAGAATGGGTTTGAGGTACCCGACAGACACCTCCGCTTCTGCTGCGTTGTTCTTCCCTATTAGAACCCAGGACATTTTTCACCTAAAAGTACTCATTTTTCACATTTCCTTGAGTCAATGCTGTTGATGGCTGGCCACTGTAGGGGTCACCCTTAACCCACGCCCCACTGGGGGGGACTATTCATAGCCCCCCTCCCGTTTTTCTGCAATAACTCCCAAACCGCTTGACGTATCGACGCTAAACTTGCAGTGCCTTCGGCTGCATCAATTTGACACCTCGTGTCAAAATTTGAACTTCGTACCTACCATAGATCGGCCGGAAATGACGTCAGAGTGACGTCATGTCCGGCCGATTTCGACGCAAAACATTCAATCACGGCAATCGCTCCCAAGAGCTCAGTTTTTAAGCTAGATCCAATTTCTTTGCATGATAGGACTCAGAATAGATTACGCTATCAAACTGCTATAACGGATTTTCAAAATTTCAAAAAATTTCGAAAATTATAAATAATAAAATTCAAAACTTATATTTTTATGTTTTTTCAAAACTTTTTGACTTTTCGAAAAAAAAAACGGAATATATGACTTACCTATGACTTACTGTAGCATGTTTTAGCTAAATATCTTCAAAAATGGCCAAGTTATACGCATTATTGCAAAAAAAAATCACAATTATAATTTTTTTTCAAATCAATTTTTCAGTACGTATTTGACATCGTGCACCAATATAAATAGCACTATCTTGTTCCTGAGCTCAAACTGCATCAAATACACCTTTGTTGTTGAAAAATTTTAACTTCAAAATTTGACCTTTTTTGACCTGAAAGTGACCTGACCTAAGCTAAATTAAACTGAAAATGACCTCGAATGACACAAACGACATCAAATTCGAAATATATGGCCTAAATGGACCATAAACATGTGTCACGTGACCGACGCATAATATAATATTTCCGTGACCTGTGATGACCTGATCCTGACCTGAAAATCAAAGTACATGTTTGGTACCCTCAGGGTATCTAAAACATCTGTTAACGAGTGTGTAAACCAAAAATGAGCCTGATCTGACTTCTAAGACGGCGGCCAGAGCCCAAAATGTGAGCAAGCCAAAATGTTAATAATTTTTACTTTGACCTGACCTTGTGACGTCATCAGTGACCTCGAGGTCAATGAAATTAGGTTTCGCTCGACAGTTTTTCCTGGGCTATCAGACACCGTTTGAATTTTGACGATCGGCCCAGTAGTTTCGGAGTTAGGAGGGGGCTATGGAGAGCCCCCCCCCCCAGTAGGGCGTGTTGTTTGTTTGTTTGTTTGTCGTTTATTCATGATTATGGGCATGGACAATGGACAGAAATAAAGTTGAATTGGTGCAAAAGCATAAACTTATTACGAGGCACCTCTTCAACAAAACAAAACGAAACAGAGCATCACCGAAATAAACACACACACACACCAGGTCCCACGCGCAACCCCGCCGCCCCGACAGACCCTCCGACCACTATAGCTGGACCACACGCGCTCCGCCAGCCTGCGGCCTCCCCCTAACTTTGTACGGCGGCCCGTCTGGCCAGACCGGGACGGTGCCGTTCCATGGCATATGCCGTCCCGGCCCCGGGGAGAGCTGTGGGATACCTCCCCGGGCCGGGGAGATCTGGTGGATACCTCCCCGGCGCTCCAGACGGGCCGCGAGCCCCCGCCCGCACCCCCGGAAAATCATCTTTCCCGGGGGTGCCCCCTAACCACCGCCCGGGCGAGGGGAGCGCCGACCCTCGCCTACGCCTACGTGTTATACCTACGCAGACCCCAGTGGGGCGCGGGTTAATGAGATGTGGTCCAAAATTGAATGCAGAGATGCCCACTTTTAAACGCTACTGTAAGAAAGACGAACTTCAGCATGTGTTGTCACTAACTTTTGGTGAATAACGCTTGAAGCCCTTTTTATGCAATACTATGAACCAAATCACTGTTCTCTTCTGCGTTTCGCCCATCCTGACCGGGAATGCGCAAACTATGTTACGATTAATTAGCAGCCTGAAGCAATCACAGGGCAGATTGGTTAATGACTACAAAAGTGGACATCCCAATAACACAGCACTGAACACACCGCGTTGCAGGCTGAAATTTCAACTCCTTCATGGCTGGGCCCAGGGGGGTACACTCCGGCTGTTTAGCATTACGAAAAGTGGTGACAGACGTTTGTGGAGGATTGTCGACGAATTCTTGTTCCGCGAGCAGTACTTACGCGCTAGCGCAAAATCCACCAATCAGCGCTCGGCAGTACTCGACGCTGATTGGCCCGATGCTCGTGACGAAATTGCGGGGGACCGCAGCTATTCTCTATGGATCCGAATAGGCTTTTGGATTTCGGAGGGGTTTCTTTGAGATTATATGCTGTTTCGAGCTGTTTTCGAGTTGACATATATTTCTTATGACTGTTAGCTATATAATGACACCATAAAATCATGATTTTTTAATCAATATTACCGATGTAATATCGGCCGAAAAGACATGCTGTCATGACACGGACTGCCCTGCGGCTAATGTGGGGCCCCTAGTGCCAGCGTATGGTAATAATGGGTTGACGAAAGGTTATTGGAGACTCTTAGAGCCCCACCGGCCACCAGGATCCAGTATAGGGTCATCAGAGGCCGGGAACGTCCATCCGGGGTCTGAGTAGGCCTATCATAGGGGCATACGAACATGGGTCAATGTAGATCCATTAGGGGCCGTTGAAGGGCCATCATTGTTCAGCGTGGGCCCGTAATTACCTCTGATGGGCATATGTCGTGCCCCGATGGACTCACGCTGGCCCCTGATGAGCCATCACCAGCCCCTAATAGGTCTACAAAACCCCCTGCTGGGTCTAAATTGGTCACTGATATGCCCAAATGGCCACTGAGATACCCGTACAACATCCCCTGACTGCACCTGATGGGCCAATGCCGTCCCCTCGTGGCCCCACCACGGCTCTTGAATGGCCCCTTCAAGTCCCCTGAAGTGCCTTTATTGGCCTAAATGGACCCCTGATTGGCTTAGGTGGTCCTTAATGGTCCTATATGGCCCCCATGAGCCCTCAACGTCCCTAGACAGCCTTACATTATATGCCACTGGGCCCTGTTGGGTCAGCACCGGCCCCTGATAGGCCCAGGCCCATGTCACTCCACTTTTGATGACATCATAAGGGTGCCTCAAGACAATAATGGCGTGGTGCGCCACAATCGCTTCCAAGCTTCTTGCCAACAGCTGCCATTTTTGAAAATATTATTTTGAAATAAAGTTACAAATAATAAAAATATTGTAATAAAGTTATTCATCATATCAATACGTTATCTAAAAACATACTGAAAAATGATTTATTTATAGTAAAAATATAAGCTCGATGCGTTTTTACGTTCCTTTTCCGCTACTGCAGAGGGTTTTTGAATCGCCTATATCTTCAAAACCGGCCATTTCTTAGCATATTGCTGCTCTTTTTTGTCGCTAGAAAATTAGTTGGGCTTTCGAGTGACATCAACGGTTGAGCAATATGTGAAAAATAGCATCAATAATCTTCAAATGAAGTTTGTCATTTTTACGTTGTTAAGGAATGGAGTACCCCTTGCGAGCATCAGGGATGACGTCACTCAGGATCTGTCTCTGATTGGTCGGCGGGGGAGTGACTGTACCTTCTATATATGGCCTTGGATAGGCCTGCACTGGACCCGCCGGACCTATACCGACCCATAATGGGCCTATGTCGAGCCCTCATGGGCCTCCGATGACCACACGCCGGCATGTGTGGCCCCATCAGCAGTGGCCGTCTATCCCATGTACTTACGGTCTTTTTGGCCGATGTGACACCGGCAGTATAAAAAAAATATCATGATTAAATGTCATTATTACATAGTCAAAAGTCACGGAAAGAATATCCAAGCTCAAAAATGGCCTCAAACCCAACAAAAACTGATATAAATCCCCTTCAAAAGTCATAAGTCAATGAAACGCCATAGGGCAATAGCTGCAGTCCCCCGCAATTTCGTCACGAGCATCGGGCCAATCAGCGTTGAGTATTGCCGAACGCCGATTGGTCGATTTCCGCTAGCTTGTAAATGCTGCTTGCGGATATAGTCTTGAACAAGTGAGGGTCGCGGCAACTAAATATTGCTTGTCACCACTTTTTCTTCGGGAGCGTTCTACCTGGTTTATATAGCCTTGGCTGGGCCCGAAACTTATTTAAAGGCCATCGTAGGGCAAAGGCAGGAACAGGACGCGGGCGATAAGAGTACGCATCAGCTGTGTCGGTTGCCTAGCAACGCAGGTTTGTCGAGTTCATGAAGTGACATGAAGCCGCTAGTGCATGTTTGTCACCAACGGAACGTGGGCGTTGTGCGGCGACACTGCTGAGTTTAACCCGCGCCCTGGTGGGGTCTGTTTATGGTGGGGTCTGTGGTGGGGTCTGTTAACAATTGGGTAAATTGGGGTCCCTGGCTCACAACTCCAACACCGGTACATAGAGGCTGCTACTACGGTGTAGGCTTTCCCAAGTTATACTAGACACCAAGTGCGCGTTCACGTTTCTTGTTCCACACAATATACCTATGTAGGTACCGTTCGATATTGAGTAGGTATGGACTAAACCCTATCGACCACACACGGGCGAAAAGGCCTCCATTTCCCTCTCCTTCTCCCTCCCACTCTTTCCCCCGTCTCTCTCTCTCTCCCTCTCTCTCTCTCTCTCTCTCTCTCTCTCCCACTCTTCTCCCTCTCTCTCCCACTCCCTCTCCCTCCCTCTCCCTCTCCCTCTCCCTCTCCCTCTCCCTCTCCCTCTCCCTCTCCTTCTCCCCCTCTCCACTCGCACTCGCACTCGCACTCGCACTCGCACTCGCACTCGCACTCGCACTCGCACTCGCACTCGCACTCGCACTCGCACTCGCACTCGCACTCGCACTCGCACTCGCTCTCTCTCTCTCTGCTGCCTATGTGACGCTCTCTGTACTATTTACCACCACTAGGTGACCGGCCGTCTTGTCCTTGTGGATGGCCGCCGCTGGATTTCGCACCAGGTCGATCGTGCCCGCCTTGCCCCCCTTCATACTGTGCGTGAGGCTGGCAAAAAAAGGACGGCGCCGCTCGTCAGTAAGGACTCAAAGCCGCACTGTGACCACAGCTGCACACAGGTGACACAATCACAATTACACGAGGGTCATAGTCACACAATCACGGGTACACGAGGGTCACACAATAACAATTACACGAAGGTCAAATAGTCACAATAAAAGTAGAATTACGCAATCACAATTCACAACCACACGTAGCAATAGGGATCTTATAATAACTAGAGACAGATGCCCTCGGGTCAAAATTCCCCGCATATCGTTGGCGTTTTCCAAGATAGGGTAAAAAGTCAAGGGTAAAATAGCAGGTTTTTGCATTACTGGCCTTGGTGCCCAGCTGGTGAAGAATGGATTCAACTTGATCGCACAGGACGAGTCATTGAGCTATCAAGACGGGATGCATCGGAAGTGATACCATGCAAAGGTCAAAATCAAGGTCAAGGTCACAATTTTTATTTGGAAAGGTCAACTGTGGTGCTAACCTTAACCCGCGCCCCAGTGGCGGTCTCAGCCAACTTCGCCCTAGTGGGGGGGGGGGGGGCATATGTTACCACCCACCTCCAACTCAAAAACTAAGAGGGCTACGAGTACAAAGACGCGGTAAAAAAAGCAGTCGATAGCTCTCAATGCGTACGTTTGAAAGTATTTCGGTCATTTTTCATTTTAGAGCAATATTGGGGTCACCAGAGGTCATCAAAGGTCAAAATTTGCGAATTGTCATCATATTTTTCAGAAAACATGCCATTATCTCCGGAGCTATGATAGCTAGAAAAACGCATGGAAAAGCAATCGATAGCTTTTGAGCTCTTCTTTTGATAAGGTCATCATCAAAAATGACCTCAGGTCAACGGTTTAGCCTCCAGAGGGCAAAAACTCCAAAAATAGCTGTTTTTTCGAAAAGCGTTTTTCGACAATAACTTATGACTAAAAAAGCCACGACATCTCTATAGCCAGAATCGTGTTCCTCTCGCCGAGACGCGTCGAATGAACTATAAGTTGACCTCAGGTCAAGGTCATGACCTGACCGGAAAAGGTCATGTTGCATATCAGTCGATGCGTCTCGGCAAGAGAAACACAATGAGGCCATCCCCAGCGTTCTATCTCTTTTCAATCGAGAGTTATTGACAAAAATCTGTTTTTAGCCTCAAATGACCTCGGATGACCTTTTTAGAGGCTATCGGCAAAAAAAAGACACCTTGGTCGTCACGGGTGGTCCAAATCATTGTGATTCCGAAATATTTGGACTGTTCCTATGCGTACACACGGATCTAGAGGCATTTTCGTTTTTCTCCATTGACTTGTAATGGAAAGGTCACGCCACTGGCCTGACCCTAGGTCATGGATATGAAAAATCTGAGATATACAAATTATAGACGCCCATAACATCATACAATCCACCAAGTTTGAAATCTCTCTGACAAACACTGCAGGCTGGACATGATTGCAAACTTTTTTAGGCTTGGTCAGCTAACTTGACCTGGTGACCTGACCTGACATGACCTGGGGTCAAAAATTTCACACCTTGTCCATAATTGATGTACAGAAAGCTACTCCACGCGGCGCGACGCTACGCGCCGCGGTTTTTTATTCACACGCAAAAAACGCGACAGGGTGGTAACATAATGCCCGTTTTTCGTTGCCTTCATTCATTTCGTTTTCGCTCTTTCTGGACCGAGCGACATCACTTTCATGCCAATTCATTAACTTTTTTGAAGGTGGGAGGGTCCCTTTAAAACTGGACATAATTTGATAAAAGATGCAATTTCGATAATTTATCAAAGTTCATGCATAAAAACATTTTATTGTTAGCAAGTTTTTTTTTCAAAGTTTTCTGATCGGAAGTGTCGCTGGTGGTGAAGTTGAGCGAAGTCGGATTTACATAGTTTGGCAAAAATACTTATGATGAATTGTAAGTTCAAACACCTGCAATTGCCAGTTTTTAGTGAAACAAGCCTAGTACCTAATTTGTATTCGTTTCGGGCTACACTGAGTAAAAAAATGTTACTGTGGTGTGGTAAAAAAAAAAATTAAGAAGATTAGAAATGACACTTCGCCAATACCTAAAACAAGCCTCTGACCTGCAAATGACCTTTGTAAAAATTATAGACCTTGTTCATGTGTACATACTGTGTAGTGTGTACCCCATGCCGTTTACCGCCTATGGTGGGGTGGATATCCGCCCCCCGTAGGTTCTAAATTGGCGCGGACCCCCGTCGGTGAGCGGGTTAAGAATGTTTAGAACGACCTTTGTCCAAAAGAGGCGCATTTTAATTTTCTCCAATTGACTTTTTATGAAGAGGACGCAAAATCGACCTGACCTGACCTGAGGTCACAGTGACAGATTTCAAAATTCCGAGTGCATTTTATACATCTTGCTAGTTCTATCAATCGCCGAAAGTTTCATAGCGATCGTTTTGTCGTTCTAGCTAAAGCGAGCATTGGGACTTTTTTCTGAAGCAAGGTCACTTGACGTAACCTGGTGACCTGACCCTGAACGACCCGAGTCTGAAATTTTACGCGTGCAGAAAAGATGTATGAACAGGTGTGAACAGGTATGAACAGGTGTGAACAGGTGTGAACAGGTGTGAACAGGTGTGAACAGGTGTGAACAGGTGTGAACAGGTGTGAACAGGTGTGAACAGGTGTGAACAGGTGTGAACAGGTGTGAACAGGTGTGAACAGGTGTGAACAGGCCAAAAAAGTCGGCGCTGCACACCGCCGTGTTTGAGATATTTGCAAAAAAACTAGTGGGGAGGGGAGGGCGTAAAAATGTCCGCCTTCCTTAGCACGCCGCGGGTTAACCACAGTTCTCGGTAAATTAAAACATTGACCTCAAAACTCAGCGATGAAACTGCAAGGTATGCAGGCTATTGCTGCGGTACGAGTCCACATGTGTAGTTATGTGCGGGTGCTGCAGTGTGGGCGGCAGAGCCACCCTCGCCCCGCCACCAGCCGGGCCGCTAACCTGCTCTCGCTGACGATCTCGATGGGCACCTTCTCTGCGCTGATCTCGGCCAGCTTGGTCACCAGCTCAATCACGTGCGGACAGATCAGGATCAGGTCTCCCTGAAATGGCCGCACCACAATCAGCTTCCTCCACTCGTTCTGCGCCGGATGGTGCGGCTAACAGACGCCGTCAGTCGCGACACGCCCACCCGCCCTGAGCCGGGGCTCAGGGACGACACGCCCACCCGCCCTGAGCCGGGGCTCACTGACGACACGCCCTGAGCCGGGGCTCAGGGACGACACGCCCACCCGCCCTGAGCCGGGGCTCACTGACGACACGCCCTGAGCCGGGGCTCAGGGACGACACGCCCACCCGCCCTGAGCCGGGGCTCACTGACGACACGCCCTGAGCCGGGGCTCAGTGACGACACGCCCACCCGCCCTGAGCCGGGGCTCACTGACGACACGCCCTGAGCCGGGGCTCAGGGACGACACGCCCACCCGCCCTGAGCCGGGGCTCACTGACGACACGCCCTGAGCCGGGGCTCAGGGACGACACGCCCGCCCGCCCTGAGCCGGGGCTCAATGACTCCCACGTGGTAACAGTTGGCAGTGTCCATAGACTGAGCAATTTTCTCGACCACCAGTCACCTTCCCTCCCCTCTCACAGAACCTTACTGCCACCGGTCGGTGCCCGCACCTTTTCCTTGCCGTTCTGGTCGGGCGCCACCTTCTTGAGCAGCAGCAGCTGGTCACTCTCTGCCGTCACCGTCAGCTGCACGTTCTCCAGCGCGAAGCGGTCCTTCAGCTTGGGCTTGTCGTGCACGTCCAGTACGTAGACGCCCCTCTTAGTGGCCACGATCCAGCGTGCGCGCGGCTTGTAGCCGTGCCGATCGTACTTGGTCACCGGCGCCACATACTGGCGGCAGGGGCGGCGGGGGGGGGACGACCGTCAGAGCAGCGGCGGCAGAGGCGAGGAATGGGGCAGGGGCGGCAGGGGCGGGGAGGGGCGGCAGGGGTGAGGAGGGGCGGCAGGGGCGGGGAGGGGCGGCGCGACTGTCAGGGGCGGGGAGGGGCGGCGCGACCGTCAGCGGCGGCAGGGGCGGTAGGGGCGGGGAGGGGCGGCAGGGGCGGCAGGGCCCGGAGGGGTCGGGTGGACGGAACGGTGGGCTGAACGAGCATACACTACTGTCTTCAGAGATGAGATGAGCAGAAATTCGAGTGTCCAGCAATCTGCCAGCTTGTCTTAAATGTAGGAATACAAAGCTATCAAATTCATGAACATTACACGTTGTGATGATACCACACCCTGCAAATTTTGTGATTCCAGGTCAAGATCCAAGGCAGCGGGGAACAACTGGAATGCCTCTTGTATTGCTGACTTGTACCTCAATGTCGTGCCGCCTCTGTTGCGGGTTAAAATGCGCGCGTCAGCGCTGGCTGTGACCTCGCTGAACTTCGTGCCGGCAGCTGACCTCACCTTGACCTCGCTCGAGTCGACCTTGGTGACAGCGGCGAGCACGGCCGGCCGGAGCGGCTCGTGCTCGGCGGAGAGCCGGCTGGTGCGGAACGGCTCTGCCACCGTCTTCGGGTAGCCGGCCTTCCTGCCTGCCGGCCACCGGACACAGCGCGGCCCGTCAGCCGCGGCGGGCCGGCGCGCCGACACCTCAGCGCACCAACATTTACTCGACATTTACACAATGGAAAGCCAAAATAACTGGGGCAAATTGGATTATTTCAATGTTATTATGTCCCAAAATTAATTACAAGTATATGCAAAATGTTCCTGGACAGCAGTAAACAAAACACCTAAACAAGATACTGAGCGCCTCTTAAAATAAACGATAAAACAAAACCTGCATGACAAAGCAGCATTGTAGCGAGCAAACATCGCTAAGAACCGATGAGTAGGGTGCCGGATAAAAGTCAGTCGGGGCCTTATCTCGTTATCTCGAGCACGACGGGGCCCATTGCGCTAAAATTTGGTACACCGTTAGGGGCCCTCTCTCTCGCTCTCTCACAAACGCTCGCTCGTCTGTCGCCCCCAACAGGTGTCTCACTGGTATATGCATTCTTATTAACATTTTGCATCTAACTCGACACGGAATACAGCGAGGTTCTCAGATAGCGCGCACCTCCCGAGCTCACCTTTGAACAGTTTCTCGGCCAGCACCTTCTGTTCGAGGGCGTACTTCCTGTCTGGCGGCAGGTGTCGCACGTAGCGGCGCGTCAGCCACCGGAGGTGCAGCGGACGCAGCAGCCGGTCGGCCTCGCGGCAAGGCGGCGGCGCCGGCGGCCACGTGCGCTCCAGCACCGAGCGCGGCAGAGCGCCGGCCAGCCGCTTCAGCCACTCGCGGCGCACCACGCGCACGAAGCGCCGGTTCACGTCGTTCTCGGGACCGTTGCGTGTGATGAACCCGGTGACGAACCTGCCCAGCAGGCCCTCGGTGAACAGAGACCGTTCGCACGTACGTAGGTGTGGCGTGCAGCACGTTTTCCAGACGTTATTATGTGTACGCGATTATATGTCCTATTCAATAGGAAAGGGCATGATACGATTACGATAATGCCAAAAATAGTAACCGGCTCTCCGGGCAATTCGAGATCTTCGACTAGCCACCACATCACGGACAGGCTCCGACAACAGAGGGCTGCTCTTATTGTTGTAAAACATCCATTTACCTAGCCGGGATGTGTGCTATGTAGTATGTACATTGTACATGCATGTTTATATGTTTGATACATACCTGGCAGGATGTAACCGGGCCCGAGCTTACCGTCTGACCACGCTGACAGCCCAGCGGCGCTTACCGTCTGACCACGCTGACAGCCCAGCGGCGCTTACCGTCTGACCACGCTGACAGCCCAGCGGCGCTTACCGTCTGACCACGCTGACTGCCCAGCGGCGCTTACCGTCTGACCACGCTGACTGCCCAGCGGCGCTTACCGTCTGACCACGCTGACAGCCCAGCGGCGCTTACCGTCTGACCACGCTGACAGCCCAGCGGCGCTTACCGTCTGACCACGCTGACAGCCCAGCGGCGCTTACCGTCTGACCACGCTGACAGCCCAGCGGCGCTTACCGTCTGACCACGCTGACAGCCCAGCGGCGCTTTTCGGCGTCTTTCATGGCCAGGTGTCGGCGGATGTACTTCTGAACGACGATCGCGCACTCGCGCTGCCTGCCAACGAGACGACAGCATGTAGCGCTCAGTCTATGAGCCGAGCATAGGTCGCTACTATAAGCACCGATCGGAATCCCGATTTTGTCCACTGACTATTCTGAATTCGGTTGGACGAAGCTAGCTGACTTTGGACAAATACGGAAAATCACTTACCACACTAAACATTTTTATTGAACATTTGTGCTCGACAAAAGACAACTTTTCTAGTACGGTGATAACAGGCAATTTCGGATCACTGAAAAGAGCATTTAAAACAAATTGATAGTTGATTTCGGGACGAAAATTCGACAAACACTTTCCGAAACTAGCACTTGACACTTCTATTTTCATTATCAAGCTTTCGGAAAGTTTTCGGACTTTGGAATCAAAACATGCGTTGGACACATTTTGGATCAAAAGAAGCCATGATTTTGGATATAGGACGGATATTGGACAACCTTTTCTGAAAATGGCACCACTGTTCTTAACCCGCGCCCGGCTGGGGGTCCTGGAATTCCACGCCCTGCTGGGGCGGGGGTGTTTGAACACCCCCCTTCTAACTCGGCTCCTGGGCCACGCAGCGATACGCGGAAGGCGGCGTTCGAAAGAGCGTCAAAAATAATGATGAAATCACTTCGGTCAATTTTTTGGTCAGGTCAAAGGTCAGGTTACCAGAGGTCATTGAAGGCAAAATTTCGCCGATTTCCAGGTCGAGTGTCGACAATTTCCAAGAAGCCAACGCATAACTCGGGAACCAATAGAGCTACAGCGCTGCGGAAAAGCACATTCGATAGCCCTATTAACGCGCTTTCTGAACAATTCTCTCAGATTTGACCTAACGTCAACGGTTTTGCCTGCAGGGGGCAAAAACTGCAAAAATAGCCGATTTTTTCGGAAAGAGTTTTTCTGCAATAACTTTTGACCCAAGCCTTGTACGAGCTTACTTTTACCGGCATCGTGTTCCTCTCGTCAAGACGCATCGAATGAACAATAACTTGACCTTGAAAGGTCAACTTGAAAATTTGACCTCAGGTCAAGGTCATGACCTGACCGGAAAGGGTTATGTTGCATATCAGTCGATCCGTATCGTCGAGCTGAACACATCTAAGGCGTTTTCATCGCTCTAGCATGCCTCTATCAAAAGTTATTTGCGAAAAACTGTTAGATACCATTCGTGACCTAAGATGACCTCAGGGGCATAAACAGGGGTCACGGACACCATTTTCGTGTTCAGTGTGTCTAAACCACTCGTAATGCAGTGTTTTGGAGTGTTTATAATGTCTTTCGTCCAAAAGAGACGCATTTCAATTTTCTCCCATTGACTTATAATGGGGAGGGCGCAAAATTGACCTGACCTTAGGTCATCGATATCAAAATTCTGAGATATACATTTTGTACATGTTATTGCTCTTAGTAATCGCTGAAAGTTTCAAAGCGATCGGTCACTCGGTGTAGCTATGGCAGACATTGAAACTTTTTTATGAGGTGAGGTCACTTCAAGTGACCTGGTGACCTGATCTTGAATGACCTTAGGCTGAAATTTTCACAACATGTGTAAAATTAATGTATGATAAGGTGTACCAAAAACGGCCGCCGCCACCGTTTTTTTTTTTTGATATTTGCGAAAAAACACAGGGGGTGTTCAAACCCTCCCCCCCCCCCCCAGCAGGGCGCGGGTTAACCCTCGCCCACCTATTCAGCTCGCCCGGCCCGGGTGATGCAACCCCCGGTAAGGTTTTTCGCAAATAGGGTAAAATCGGCGGCTCCTACCAAATTTGGCATATCCTCTGGGGCATTCTTTTGACACCTTCTCTGAAAGTTTCAGGTCTCAGTAATTTCAGGTCATGTCACCAGTAATTACGTGAACATACTTTTTCGTCTCCTAGCAATGTAAAAAACGGCGGAAACATAGAAACCACATAAAACTATATGTTTTACTTAATCCTTATCTAGTTGCAATGCATGACATAGGCGTTCCGGCATGATTGACACCATGTCAAGAGCTGCTGGCCAAAGCTCAGCCCACGTCTCCTGTCCTGACCGATTGCCCCACGGAGCTGTCCAGTGAGGCAATCGGTATTGGTGGCTCCTTGCAGCTTTTAGACGGTCTCCTGAGGAGCACCTGGATATTTTTAATCGAATTTAGGTCTGTGCTTTTCCCACATCAGCCTTTGCATGTTCTGAAGAAAAACAGGTTCGCACAGCACCAGTCTTGCGTTTTGTTGACCGTGAAAGTAAGGACTTCACCATTCACGAAGAGCAGCTTCTTTGCGTCATGCACAAAAGTGCGCTTAATCATTTTGCCACTTTTTCTGCAAGGTGGATTACACAGAGACACTCGTCTGGGAGGATGTTTCACTGGCTGAATAGTGTATAGCTTATTTCTGGTGACTTTTTTGGGCGCTACATGCAATTCGGACACCACCAGGGGACTCGTGGCCCACTGTTGTGTTCTTTTAACAGATGGTTGAAGGTTGGGACGGGCGGGACATAAGACGCATCAGCAGCTCCCAACGAAGTTGTTATGCGAAGGGTACAGTAGGAGCGAGCCGCGCGGGACGAGCTGCCCAGGGCGCCCGGCGCCGCCGCTCGTCAGCAGGGCACTGACTTTTGGTACTGGAGCCGCTGCCGCCGACCCCTCCAGATCTTCGTGATCAGCGTCACGAGCTCGTGTTTCCGCGCCTGGAACCGATCCTCCACTTCAAAAATAGTCTTTGGCAGGCGAATAAACACCTTGGTCCTGAAAAACAATGCATAAGGTGCAGAAGTCAATCAATGTGCATATTAGGTATAATGGTTCATTATACTTTGATGTCTTTTACTCTCTCTCCCTCTTTTGTTCAGGAAAAAAATAATTATCTAAGGTGAGCATACATTGGTACCAGCTTCTGTGTAGGTATATGATTCATCCGTGATGCAATGGAGTGTTGTAAGAACGTAATTCGTGGTGCAAGGGCTGTAACGACTTCACATGATGCTATTGCCCACATACAAGATGTGCCAGTAAAACTTACGACGCAGTACCCAGCTTTTCAATGTTTCAATTTATTGCGCACTGTAGAGCTTGATGTTCTCCGAGCACTCTATCCTGACGCATGACGGCCGCGTGGCTGGCGGCCGCGCCGTCACGGCCCGGGGGTCGTTAAGGACACTCACTTGCCCATGCTGTAGTCGTCGTCGCCGAAGCCGAGGTGTTTCATCAGCGTGTGTACACCGGCGCGCGCCGGTCCGTCGTATCGGGGCCAGGTGTCGGGACAGAGAGACTTGTAGCGCCGCAGGAACGGCTCGAACGGCCGCCGGAACGCAAAGCCGGCGCGGCGCACGCGCAGGTTCTCCATCAGGCCCAGGTACTTGACCTGGTGGCTGACGACCTCCGTGTCCAGCTTGTCTGCGGCACCCGCGGCAGGCTGGCATCAGTACACAGGTACCGCAGTGTTCGCGTCGGAACACGAGTACCAACATACGGGACGCCAGACAGCACATGACCGCCGGAACACGGCCCGTGTTCCGGTACGGTACGAGTACGGCAGACAGCACAACATGACCGCCGGAACACGGGCCGTACGAGTACGGCAGACAGCACAACATGACCGCTGGAACACGGGCCGTACGAGTACGGCAGACAGCACATCACCGCCGGAACACGGGCCGTACGAGTACGGCAGACAGCACAACATGACCGCTGGAACACGGGCCGTACGAGTACGGCAGACAGCACAACATGACCGCTGGAACACGGGCCGTACGAGTACGGCAGACAGCACAACGTGACCGCCGGAACACGGGCCGTACGAGTACGGCAGACAGCACAACGTGACCGCCGGAACACGGGCCGTACGAGTACGGCAGACAGCACAACATGACCGCCGGAACACGGGCCCCAGGAGCACCAGCATCGGCACAAGTACATACGTACCATACGTACAGCCCCCGTCCGACCGCGTGGTAGGCGTCCTTTTTCATTCGACGAAACCGGGAATAACTCGAAGGCTAGATTATCAGCCGATTGGACTGATGCCATAGAAAAGCACGGTGCTCCACCCTTTCGATTGGGTCTATCATTGAACGTCATGCGACGTCAGTGTAGGCTGTAGCAGCAAAGGCCAGAGATTGTTTTAGGGCAAATAAAAACTTTTGTATATTGCCGCCAAACGGGATGGGAACTGTGTACATTCAATGATGAGCCCAACCCAAGGGATGGGGCCTAACGCATATCTGTGTTTTGGTCTCCGAGTGACCAAATAACACAGCCTTCGAGTTATCCTCGGTGTTGAAACTGACATAGTATCAGGGAAAACGGATAAGTATCGTAAACATCACCCTAGACTAACTATAAGTGCAAATGTTGAAAATAATGTGACGTCATAAGAACAGTCGATATTATGATAGTAGTTCAAATAGCTATATTTCTGGCAGTTTTAGAGATATTCTGTTGATATTTGGCATATGGAAAGGAAATGAAACATAGCTCTGTTTAGCTCAACCAGAGCTGGGCGCGTTCCTCGATTTTCGGTAGTGCGTTAGCGTTCCTGCGTTCCTCCGGCCGCGGTTAGTGCGTTCCTGGAATAGCGTTCCTCAATTTTTTTTCGTTCGGTGCGTTAGCGTTCCTGCGTTCCTGCGTTCCTCCCTCAAAAATACCGCCGAACCACGCGGCGCGGGCCCAACCAAACACGGGGCGAATCGATCACAGAATACCCAGAATGGCGACGTGGGGCCGAAAAGCAACTCGACATCTCTTTTCCGAATCGAATATCTGAAATAGGGGAGAGTGGGGTGGGTTGTATCAGTTTTTACTCCGAGACCCATAACCTCGTAACTATCCGTGATAAACTCATTATTTCCATACTATCTCCTTCCTTGATTCTTCTGCTTTTTTTGTGCAAAGTAACTTTTCCGCCACCTCTACCAGTTTTTCTTCTACGGTCTGCCGAATAGAGCAATGTTTTTGATACAACTTGCCCCGTGGCTTGGGTGAGTTGTATCACATGGTGGGGTAATTTGTATCACTATTTCACGTTTCAAGGAGTGTGCTTGCTACTGGTTTTGAACATAACAACAACATTAAATGGGGTTAATACAATATATATGCTCAAAGGCTTCACTTTTATTAGACCAAACTTAGGTCAATCCGAACGAAACATCGAAACGAACGAAACATCAACAGACTAGACGCAAAAGTGGCCCGTTAAGAGCAAAGAAGCCAACACATTGTGCCGAAATGGAACGAGTATTGACTAGCTACCTACAAACGCGAGCCAGGGCTTAGCTTTCGCGATCAAAAGCAACATACCCATACATACATACATATATACATGTTACAACATACCCCACCCGGCTCTGATACAACATGTACCTCGCCGCCATCTTGGAAAAACATCCTCGTGCTCAAAAACAGCGGACAGCTGGAGAAATCCATTTTCACTCACGCAGCCTTAGAACCTACCCTCACCACCGCTACGGAGATCTTTCAAATTCGTGCACATCTAAATGCCCAAAACACACATTTTCTTGCAACTTATTTTTTTAGAATGACATTAAAAAACATAAAATCGAATCTCACCTCGAGACGCGTCCACCCAGCCACACGACAGAACAGGGAAAGATGGCGCCCGGAAAACCTCGTCGGCTGGTCGTGTCACGAGCGCCATCCATTGGATAAGTTTGGCACAATTCGCCCTGATACAACTTGGACATGATACAACTCTCCCCGCTCTCCCCTACGTTTTACCAATATCATCCGTAGGGTTTTCAACAAAAAATACGACCTGCTTAAAAACAATAGTTAAGTTAAAAGATGTATCTTAGTAAAAGTTATCATATTTACTTTATACATTTAATGCCTGAAACTGAATCGAATAGTAAACATCACCACTAAATCTAAGCAAGCCTTCCTCGATTCGACCGACAAGTGGCGCCTCTACCGGCAAACACACGTACTCGAGATTCAAACATTTGACACAGAGGTCATTGGCAGCAATATAATTTTTCGGGTGGTTCCGCAAGAACGCAGGAACGCTTCAAAATTTCGGGTGGTGCGTTCCTCTTACTTGCGTTCCTTCGAAAAACTTTGCGTTCCTGCGTTCTTGCGTTCCTAAAAAGGGCGGTGCGTACGTACGGAAGAACGCAGGAACGCACTAAAGGAACGCACTTGCCCAGCTCTGAGCTCAACCATATAGGTATTCATTTTTTCTGAGAACTGCAAATTAAAAACAAAAAAATCTAACAAATTTCGATTTTGAGTTTGAGAATCTCAAGATTTTTATATATTTTGGAAGTTTCGAGATCGCAGTGATGAAAAATTAAGAAATGGCCCCTATAATTCTAACCCTCACTGGCCGAGGGGGGCGAGTGCCAGCCCCATAGTTTTTCTTTTTGCGATAGCTCGGAACACGCCAGAGATAGAGAGCTAAACTATGCATACCTGACCTTTGATTTAAGTCGGATTTTGTGACACCAACCGCATTTTCAGGTCAGGTCAGGTCACTGACCACTGAGGTTCACGTCATAAGTGAACCTCTGCACGGTCCTCAGTTGTCGCAACTTCGCAACGTGCCAGAGCAACTCTCACATAGAGATGAAGCTTACAGGACGTAGTATCCTCCAGAGGTCTCACGGCTTGTAGATATATCTCGGATTTTTCCTAAAGCTCACAAGAGGTTAGGTCGGTTGTGTGACCTCACCATTATAAGTCAATGGGGGAATATGAAACTGTTATTTCGGTACCGGGAATGTTTTTCAACTATGGCAAGCACATGGAAGCGTGATTTCATGCATTTCTTGAAAGATCAGATGCTTCACTTGCGCATTGTTGACCTTACGTGAAGTCATTTATGACGTCACTAGGGTCACAAGGGTTTTTCGTTAATATCTCCCGATTAAATTGAGCTAGAAAGTCGCGAAATCCACCAATAGACCCAGGAAGACTGCCGAATAGAATGATATGCGATATGACCCCCTTCGACCAGCTTCGTGACCTGAGGCACCTGACCTGACCTTAACCCGAGGTCAACACCTACACCTTAAGTTGACCTCACCCTAACACAAAATATACCATTCGATGCACCTGAGCGAGGCAAGCACGATGATGCCAATATCGCGACTCTGCGGCCGTTTTTTGCAAAGTTATTTATCAAAACCGAACTCGCGACATGGGCCACTTGACCTGACCTAATAGTTCGCCAGTTGACCTGAGACCTTAAAATGGGTGCCAACCGCTGCGTCTCGTAACGGCGCACACGCTCGTTTTTTCCGCGAGGCTCTAGCCTAGCTCCATTAGGGACGAAACGGTGAGGGGTTCGTAGTTCGTACCGATCCTCGCCCCCCCCCCCTCGGTGGGGCGTGTGCAGAAAACCAACAGGTCCCGCGAGGGCTAAAAGCAGTCGAAGCTTTTGCCTCTTGGGCTTAAAGTTTGGCGAGGCATATGTTTCCTGGACGTACGTTATATGTTTCATACCCGCGGGCGCACGGCCGTTGGGGACAACATTTGGTCATGCATGGGTGCTTATACACACGCCATATACATACAGACAGATCCATTAGGCGCTGAAATATTCAGTGGCGGCTCGTGGCGCCAACATTGAACACATTATCGTGCGGTGCACATATCATTGATAATAATACCGTGCGTGAGGCAACTACCACTACATAGCCGGCAGGCGTGTCGGGAGGTAAGCTATTAGAAGGCATTCAATGAGCACTGCTGCACATGGGTTTGCACTGATTGGAAAACACTGGAGGGCAGAATAGATTAATGATTATCGCGGGTAGTCGTTGCCTTGCCTGGTGACTAATGACTGGTAAATAATGACTGGCGACCAGTGGCTGCCGCCATCAACCAGGGATATTTGACTGGTAACAGACGACCGTCACTTATTACCTAGGGGAAAGTGGGGTAAGAGGGCTAGGACGGCCAAAACAAAACAAGACGGCCCTGAGGTGGGTCAGGCGGACTGCCGGGCGGGCCGGGCGGCCGGGCGGACTGCCGGGCCGGGCGGACTGCCGGGCCGGGCGGACTGCGGGGCCGGGCGGACTGCGGGGCGGACCGGGCGGACTGTGGGGCGGACTGCGGGGCGGACCGGGCGGCCGGGCGGACTGTGGGGTAGGCCGGGCGGACTGTGGAGTAGGCCGGGCGGGCTGCGGGGACTTGGCGCTGCTGAGACACTCACGCGACTGTTTGACGTCGTTGGGCTTGATGCAGCGCACGTAGGAGGGCTCCTTGGACATGAGGATGGTCATCAGCTGGTCCAGGCTCTTCTTGAACTGGGTGCTGACCGTCTCTGGCATCTTCTTGCCCTGCAGCTCAGAGGCGGGGAAAATATCCTGCAAGGACACAGGCAGTGGTACTGGTCAGACGGGAGGACCCGCCCGTCACACACCGTCACACACAGGTACAGAAGTCATTTACAGGTCCGTGTACAGGCTACATTCGGGGAGGCACGCACAACTGACACAAGGGAGTGCCCAGACATGTACAACAGCCAGAGAGAGTCTGACCTGGACGATCTTGTTGGAACTCTTAGCCATGGCGTCCTTCAGGTCACGGTACAGCAGGTCGTTGTTTTTGTCCATGAACGTTTTCACATTGTAGGTGACGTCACCAGCGTAGTGCTTCAGACGAAATTCCTGCGGTGAGAGGTGTCATTATTTCACATCAGCCATAGCTCGTCATATGATTTCCATGCTCAGCAATATTTTACTTTACCTTTGATGACCTCTGGTGATCCTACCCTGACCTAAACAATGACTGAAGTAATGTTGTCATTACATTCGAAGTATTTTCGAATGCCACTTGCCGCGTGCCGCTAGGTGGCTCAGGAGCCGAGTTAGAAGGGGATCTTCAACCCCCCCCCCCCCGGCCAGGCGCGGTTGGCACCGAGCAGTCGAGCCTCATAGGCGTCGCCAGAGATTTTCGGTTGGGGGGGCAAAATCAACTTTTGTGTTAAATCCTGCCTTTCCCCAGTCGTTACTCACTCGTTTTACATATCACTCGACGCGCAATGGTGCCAGGAATCCGATGGTGACAAAGTTTTCCTTCTAGCTATGACATGTAATTTTTTTACAGAAAAATTTGAAATTTTTACATTTCTGGACAAAAAACGGCCGGTAGAATTACAGTGGCTGCGGTTGCCGATGCACTGTCGACCCTCGTCGCTCACTATCATCACCCAGAAAAAAGGTGAAAAACGCTCCATTTAACCGAATCACCCTGCTAAAACCTCCAGTCTATGCCTCCATTCATGCATGCATGCAGAGGTTTTACATGAAATGCATTGCATAGGGCTTATCCCAGCCGCCGATAGTAGCTAAGCTGGGCATTCGGCGGAGAGTGAATGTCGGAAGTGTGAATCGGAAGTAATATATCTTTGCTCCAGTGAGAGGAAGTTTTTTGTTCACCCGAGTGTGAACAAAAGTTTCTCGTTTTTCGTGTGAAGGGACGCGAACCAAAAATGTTAAACGGAACCAAAAGTTACACTAGACATAGCGGCAAGGGATCCCTTACAGATAGGCTTGGGACTTCCAGGCCATTTCAGGGCACTCAGGGTCAGATAGACTCTCGGAAGCCTGCATAGGATCCCAGAGATCGGCGTTGGTCACCCCAAATATTTACGTGTATGTGGCGCTTTAGGGCTTTTCGAGCCCAAGGTGGGGCCCTCAGAAGCCAGTGTGGGCGGCGGGCGATAACAGACTAGGCCCAGGGTGAGCCTGGAGCCCTCTTATAACAGTGTGAACTATCGGGGTCTGTGTCGAATCCCTAAGGACCCTACGTAGGGACATAAGAAACATGTATCGACTATCGCGGCCCTCAAAGGGACATGCGAGTTGTGACCCCTCAGATGCCGGCTTGGGGTTAGGAAAGTCTGTCGGTTACGCATGTATAAAGTCCTCAAAGATCCCTGTATGGGCCCTCAGAGAACATGGACATCAGTGGGACTCTCAGAGGCTGGTTTGGGCCCTCTGAAAGCTTCTTAGAGCTCAGTGGAACTCCTTAGGAGCCTGTGTGAAAGGCGAGCTCATGAGCCCTGCGGCACTTGAACGGTACTTTAGCCTGTCGCAGACATTTGACGAGAGTTGAGAAAGGCCCCGAAGATTTCGTGTCACGCTTTGAAGGAAAATTATGTGTCAACACTCCAAAACTTTGAAAATCAGCTATAAAATGTAATAAAGAACCAACTAGGAACATGGAATGAATCAAAGCATTGACATTTCCGAGTCTGGAGTCAGAGTCCTAAAGATTTTGGAGACTGCGCCTCTGACTCTGGTTTGAACTGCACGCTCCAACCAGGGCTGCGGAGTCGATGTATTTTCGGCGACTCCGATTCCGACTCCGACTCCGGCTTTCAAAAACCAGCTCCGACTCTGACTCCGACTCCGGGCAGAATTGTCGACTCCGACCGACTCCAACTCCCGACTCCGACTCCGCAGACCTTATAGCAGGGCTGCGGAGTCGACAGATTTTCGATGACCCCGACTCCGACTCCGGCTCGGGTTTCTAAAATCGACTCCGACTCCGACTCCGACTCCGGTCACAACTGTCGACTCCGACCGACTCCGACTCCGACTCCGACTCCGACTCCGACTCCGACTCCGACTCCGCAGCCCTGGCTCCAACCGAGTCTGACCTCACAGGCATTCTCAGAAAGGTACCCCCCATTTTTTTTCCGACTCCAAAATCTCATCGGATCTGTATCGATCTCAGGGGGTGCCCGGTCCGAGGTTGGGGGGGCAAGCTGCCCCGCTTGCCCCCCCGTGGCGACGCTAATGAGTCGAGCACCGTCCCGGCCCGGGTCAAAGCGCCTGATCATTTGGCACGTGCTCCAATAACTTGAATGTATGGTTCGGAGAAAAGTTGTGGGGAAAGCCGCGAGGGCAATATTTTCGGATATACCTATCTGAGCCAGTAAAAAGGCACATGCATAAAACGCGCTTGCACTTTAAATCCGCTCTTTCTTAGGTTTTTCGGGTATACACGTATGGTTGGTGATGTACCTACTAGGATTCAAATTTGGTATCGATTTTTGAATTCAAAATCGCTTCAAAATGGCTTAGTAATTTGTCAGGCTCAGTGACAAAGGAACATGTAACCTAGCTGGTCTGCATCACGTCATAAGTAGGTACGCCTGAGATGTCAAATTTAAAACTTACCCAATGCAAAATTTGAAGGCCTAAATAATGGGCACGGTCGCGGGTTGTTTTTTTTTTGGGGGGGGGGGGTCACTACTACTCTACGCCTGGCGACAGCCTAAAAGGAACCCTCCCACCTTCAAAAAAGTTAAAGGGACTATCCCACCTTTAACCCGCGCCCTGCTGGGGGGGGGGGGTGTTTGAACACCCCCCCTGTGGTTTTTCGCGAATATCTCAAAAACGGCGGCGCGGAGCGCCGCCGTTTTTGGTACACCTTATCATACATCAATTCTACACATGTTGTGAAAATTTCAGACCAAGGTCATTCAAGGTCAGGTCACCAGGTCACTTGAAGTGACCTCACCTCATAAAAACTTTCAATGTCTGTCATAGCTACACCGAGTGACCGATCGCTTTGAAACTTTCAGCGATTGCTAAGAGCAATAGCATGTACAAAATGTATATCTCAGAATTTTGATATCGATGACCTAAGGTCAGGTCAATTTTGCGACCTCCCCATTATAAGTCAATGGGAGAAAATTGAAATGCGCCTCTTTTGGATGAAAGACGTTATAAACACTCCCAAACACCGAATTACAAGTGGTTTAGACACACTGAACTTGAAAATGGTGTCCGTGACCCTTGTTTATGCCCTGAGGGCATCTTAGGTCACGAATGGTATCTAACAGTTTTTCGCAAATAACTTTTGATAGAGGCATGCTAGAGCGATGAAAACGCCTTAGATGTGTTCAGCTCGACGATACGGATCGACTGATATGCAACATGACCCTTTCCGGTCAGGTCATGACCTTGACCTGAGGTCAAATTTTCAAGTTGACCTTTCAAGGTCAAGTTATAGTTCATTCGATGCGTCTTGACGAGAGGAACACGATGCCGGTAAAAGTAAGCTCGTACAATGCTTGGGTCAAAAGTTATTGCAGAAAAACTGTTTTCAAAAAAATCGGCTATTTTTGCAGTTTTTGCCCCCTGCAGGCAAAACCGTTGACGTTAGGTCAAATCTGAGAGAATTACTCAGAAAGGGCGTTAATAGGGCTATCGAATGCGCTTTTCCGCGGCGCTGTACCTCTATTGGTTCCCGAGTTATGCGTTGGCTTCTTGGAAATTTTCGACATTTGACCTGGAAATCGGCGAAATTTTGCCTTCAATGACCTCTGGTGACCTGACCTTTGACCTGACCAAAAAATTGACCGAAGTGATTTCGTCATTATTTTTTACGCTCTTTCGAACGCCGCCTTCCGCGTATCGCTACGTGGCCCAGGAGCCGAGTTACAAGGGGGGGTGTTCAAACACCCCCCCCCCCAGCAGGGCGTGGAAATCCAGGACCCCCAGCAGGGCGCGGGTTAACATGGGGTTTGAGTTGAGATAGCCAAGTTTGCGGCGAGGTTCAGAAACCACTATCTATCTAGGTTGCAACCCCCGCGGCCTCGTGATGTTAAAGAAATTCGTTCCCTTCATTTGAAAATGGGCCTTGTGCAAGGCCCTATCTTCAACATGGAGCGACCGTTAGTGTGACGTCACCTAGTTTAGTCATTCTGATTTAAATGGGTTTGTTCGTTGAAAAACCGCTTAAAACTTGGTCTGAACTTTGTGGTGCCTACAGAGTAAACAAAATCAGCTTTATGACAGTAATGTGGCCTGGGGAAGGAGATAATTTTGGGCTGTGACGTCACATATTTGAAAGTTTGTGTTTGGAATATGGGAAGCCTAAGATGTTTAATGAAAAATAAATGCCAGAACCGTGTTCCTCGTCATCTAATCTATAAAGTCGGGCACAATTTAACTGGTTTTAACAACATTTTAGAAGGTGGGATAGTCCCTTTAATGAATTGGCATGAAAGTGATGTCGCTCGGTTCAGAAAGAGCGAAAACGAATATCTACCAAATTTCATCGAAAAAGAAATCTGAGATGTTCATCTCAGAAACATCTCAGAAACGGGATCAGGAGGGACGCCGACACACCACTTGGTGATCACATGAACCTCAAACATCCGACTGCGGACATTAGCGATGAGAAGTTAGCTGCTCGGATACTGTGTGTCTGTAGAGATGAGGCAGATAGGAGAATCTCAGAGTCGGTTTATATTCGTGAGAAGAGGCCCAAACTTAATTACAACGCAGCGTCATGGCAACTACTTCCTTAGGATTACTGACCTTTGATCTAAATGAACGTTGCGGTGACTTGTTTGTTTGTTTGTTAATTGGGGCTTTAGGGCGCGCCGACTACTTAGGTCATTTTGCGCCCATAACGTCGTTTTAATAAAACAAGTGTGTCAAAAGAGAGAACCTTCTAGATACGAAGACTAAAAAGTAAAAGACTCGATATAAAACAGCAAGGTAAGATAAAGCAGCGCAAGAGTGTCGTCCTAGACAACTGACTAGATGTAAGGACTAGAGAGGACTAGTTGGATTTAATGTCAGGTCGAGTAAATCGCTTGCAAGTTGATCGAACGGATAAAGGAGAAAATGTTGCCGGATAAAAC